AAGGTGGTCAACCCCGAATACACCTTCCTCGGAATCAAGATTTTTTTGATATCTACTAACAAGCTTTCTCGCAAGCTCTTTTTTGGAATTATGGGACATGAGCTCCACCAGTAGAGTCGAGGCGTCACCACCTAGAACAGCGCCAAGGCATTGTTGTAGAGCCAAGGCATCGCCGTAGAGCCAAGGCGCCGTCCACACCGTCAACTCCAGCGTCGCCTGCCCCAGCCTCTAGGCGCTGCTGCCCAGCCTCCAAGCATCATTGCCCAGCCTCTAGGCGTCACTTACCCTACCTCCTTGCACCTTACACTGCCACGTCTCCGAATTTGCCTGCCCCTACCCGACACCCACTTATTACTTGGCTAAGGATTGACCCGAGACCTAGAGCCCTATTGAAACTCTACTCCAAGTATCAAGGGACTGTTGATAAACAATGCCTCTTGGGGATTGGTGATGAGGTCTATCCTATGTCAACATGAAATTCGAGTTAGTGTGAAACACCGCTTCCTATACCATTATAAATAAAGGTTTTGGGTACCAAGCTTACCAAGACTTCCCCATCATCATCTTTGTTTCGTACAAGCTGGTGATCCTTTGCGTGAATTTTTTCCTGAACAGGGACTTTTTGAAATCGAGCAGGTAGCAAGAATAAAAATCAACCTATAAAACATCTCCTTTCATTGAAGATTTGGCCTCGTATGGATTGTAGAGTTAAACTTATTCTAATCCTTGAGCTAATCGAAAGAATTCGACTAGGGAAGACCCAGCGGTGCTCGCGTCTATGTCCCCCTCTTAATGGCTCTCACGACAGTCGCCAGAAAGCTTGGTCTTACTTTGCCTCTGATCCCACGCAGGGAGCCTCAATCTGTAGCTTAGCATCTCTCTCAAGAATCGCTAGCAAGCTTGGCCTAATTCTGCCTCTACTCTAACGTGGCAACCTCAATCTCCAGCGTAGCATCTCTCTCACTAGTCGCCACAAGTTCAGCCTAACTCTGCCTCTACCCTCAAGCAGACAACCTATGTCTCCAACTTAGCGGCTCTCACAAGAGTGGTCAAAAAGCTTGGCCTAACTCTGCCTTTGCTCTCACGTAGGCAGTCTCAATCTCCAGCTTAGCATCTCTCTCACGAGTCGCCAGAAAGATTGGCCTAACTTTGCCTCTGCTCTCACGTAGGTAGCCTCAATCTTCAACTTAGCATCTCTATCACAAGTTGCTATAAGTTCAACCTAACTCTGCCTCTGCTCTCAAGCAGGCAGTCTATGTCTCCAGCTTAGCGGCTCTCACAAGAGTTGTCAAAAGCTCGGCCTCACTTTACCTCTACTCTCAAGTAGACTATGTCTCTAACTTGGCGTCTCTCACGAGAGTTATGAAAAACTCAACCTTATTCTGCCTCTGCTCTCACACAGTCAACCTCAATCTCCAGCTTATCAGCTTTCTCACGAGTCACCAAAAGCTTGGTCTAATCCTATCTCTATTCTGAAGCAACCTCAATCTCCTAGAAGCTTAGCTTAACTTTACCTGTGCTAACACGCAAGCAGCCTCGTTCTCCAGAAGCTCGGCCTCAAGAGTTGTTGTTTTCTCATAAGCCAACCTCAATTGCCCATCTATAGCCTGGTGCCAGAGCCTCTCTTCCACCAATGCTCTTGACACCTCATTGAGTTTGAACATCCTCAAAAGTACAGAAAAGAAATAGCCATTTGTAAATTTTTGAAAGCTAGAATGTCAGCATGACCAAGCATACAGAAGACTGGGTTCTACATAACAGCGAGGTACCATAGCAAATCCCTCTATCACAGTATCAATGATACCCTTAATACCCCGAGAGCTAACATCCAAGGGTGTCACAAACCTCCAAAACCTCTTCTTAGCCAAAATTCACATCCTGCAGCAGGGACACCAGGTCACTGCTAGAAGTAGGATAATTATGTGAAGAGTTGGGGGCATCAAACCCCACCTTCTGAGAAACATAATGACCATCAAACCTCAGCTAGAAAGCACTGGGGGAATCAGATCTCACCCTTTCTTGGAGGAGGGAAAGTCATAATCCTAGTGACATAAAGAGCTTTCGTTGTTGATCCATCAACCACGAGATCACTTGTGAAAATGAGAATTTTCATAAAACAAAGACAACATCAATTATAGTGTTGTCTATGGCACCGCCCAGGTTCATATCCATAGCACCACCCAAGCTTCTCTTCCTTTCCAAGGCGTCACTCGCTAAAAAATCTCCATCTCTATGCACTGAAGTGTCCATCCTTCTCTTCATCCTCTCTCCAACAATGACATTACCAAATGGAGAAGTAAGCTTCAAAAATGCAATGGAGTGAAAAGCTGAAGAAGCCATCATATGGAACAAGATATCTATTCTACCCAAAGGAAGGAGCTCACTCATGCTCTCAACCCCCAATCACTACTACGGCTTGGGGCATGGGGGCAAATGATGAGCTCAGATTTTACTGTGCCAAGCCCAATTAATTAAGTAAGCCCAAATTAGCTACAAGACATGTCAAGCCCAACTCGTGGATTTGGCCTAATCCAAGAAGATTATCGCACGTGGGAAGCAATTATCGGGATAGCCACTCTCCAAGATCAAGACTATTTCTAATTGTATCTATCCGAATTGTACTTATCCTCCCCGAAGGATTAGGCACATACCCATCACAGTATTGCCTCAACAAAAGCTTTGTGCCTATAAATTGTAAGTCATCTCGACATGAGAGGGGCATCGCACTACACACCTTGCACAACTATCTCTCTCATAGGTACAAAGAGCAAACCCTTGCTCTCTCTCTCTCTCTCTCTCTACTTCATCAATAAAGACCACCGGCCACCATTGCCGTCTTCAAAATGGAGTAGGTCACTTTGATTGAACAACTATACATTTGTGTATTGCTTGTATGGATCTCACCTTTATATTTACTATATTCATTACTTATATAAATTACTCGACTATTGATTGTGCATAAATCCAATTTTATGTATCATCAGAGATCAAGAACGTTTTTCTTTTAGCTAACGATGAGAGAATGGTATGAGTGAAATCTAGGGATGTCAATGGACCGAAGCAGGGACAGGGGGTAAAGTCTTCATCCCCGTACCCACTTCAAAAATCTTCGTTCATTCCCCATCTACTCCCGTTAACAGGTATAATTTTCGTCTACATCCCCGTCCACGGGTAAATTTTTAATCCCCGTCCCTGTTCCCGCTTCCCCCGTATCCGCCCAAGCCCAAATTCAAGTCAACATAATCTAAAATTCTAAATAAATCCAACATTTAAATAATTCAACAACATTTTACCCCTTTTTGTTTCATAAAATATGTTATTCATTTCTCTTTTTATGTATAAACACACTGCATTCTTTATGGTGGCTGGAGATGAGTTAAAGAATCAAAACCAAGGAGTTCCCTGTAAGCATAGAGCCAGCAAACCAGCATCAGCGTAAAATTGTAACCGTTTTTTTTCATCTAATTATATGACAAAAAACTATCAAAATATCATTCTTGAAGAAAGCTATTAGCTCTTACAGTGTGTAAAATATTTATATAAATCTTGAAATGTCATAAATCTTAGAACTTTAGTTTCTTAACTTACCATTTTTTTTGCATTTTTATTTCAATAATCTGTTTCTTAGAGGATTGATGACACGTAATCAATTACCAATCATGAATATCTAAATTGGCTTCAAGTCAGTTATCTAGTAGAACCAATGAAGTAAAGAATTGTGATAAGTAGTTGTGTGCATGTTGCTCGAATGGCAATTGCACCACAGAAGTCATACCAAAAGTACAAATGGATTTAAATTTCTGTTGTGATGCCCTAGAACCATTTTTTTAGCTTTCTTTTTCTTTTTAATTTTTTATGGATTTCTTATTAATTTTAAAAAGCCTGATATTATTTATATTGTTCAATGAAGTTAAGGATTGTTGCTAATGTTTGCACTTATTACCTATGATAATGTATATTACCTATTTGAGTATATATATATAACGGGTAACCGAGACCGGACGGGACGGGGATAAGAGTAAGTCCATCTCCACCTTTATTCTTACACAAATTTATACGAATATTCACGTATACGTTTACGGTCTAATACGTATAATTTATCTCTGATATAAATAAGACAAATTTAGACGAATACCTGTCCTTTCCGATCCCTTGTCATCCCTGGTGAAATCTATTATAGGCCGTTTCACAAGTACCATGGTAATGGGACACCAAACTCTTTTCCAATTCACTAAGAACGGTCGTGACCAATTGCATCGACCTTTTCATGCTATCAAAGTCAAAGAAGAAGTTAGGTTTGCATCATTTTCCCACTACTTTGCTCTTTGTCTTTTCTGCGTCCAATACTTTAAAGAATCTGTGTAGACTTGCTCTCTAGTGGACAAGGTCCCACACAGAAACACTCTCTTTGCGACAATTGTCGCAATTTGGAGTCTACCTCATATTTTCTTGATAAATGTTGCGTTTTTAAAATATTTTATCAAATTTTATATTTCAAGTGACGTGGCATATTAACAGTCATTAGTTAATTAAAATTGGATTAATAGCATTTTTGTCACCGTAATTCTTATTATATCAATTTTATCAATTTAATTCTTAAAATATTCGGTCTATATCATTTTGATCCATAATCAAACAATCTATCGTATTTTTTGACTAAAATAACTATATGTCATTTTTTTAGAAGATATCGCGTATCCAACACGTAATTATTCCTTTAAAAATTTAATGGTCTATCTATGTAGGGATCAAATTAATATGAATCGAATATTTTAGGAATTAAATTTAATAAAACTGATTAAATAAGAACTAAATTAATAAAAAAATACATATTTTAAAAAACAAAAATACTATAAATTAAATTTGTGAGACCTAATAATAATTCACAATGATTCGGGATTCAGAACATACAAAAATTTTGATGGATCTTGTTGTTTTTTTTTATCTGACATTCCCCCTCCCTTTTCCCTCCTCCTCCTCCTCCCCGTTCCCACCAGATAAATTCCCCATTCCTGTCATGCAATTCCAAGCTACGCTAGGTCATCTCCCTCTCTCTCTCTCTCTCTGTGCAACTTTTCTATATCACCTAAGAATAATGCTAGAATCAGATCCACCTCTCCTCCACAACTATGCAGATCTTCTACGCCACTCAGGTGAAAATTATGCAGTTCAGCAAAGTGAAATCATGGAGGAATGTGAACTCCCACAAATAGATCTTAGTGGTCTGAGAAGTGATCATGAAGAGGAGAGAGAAGCTTGTGCAGCAGCAATCTCCAGAGCTTCATCCAAATGGGGTTTCTTCCAAGTGGTGAACCATGGCATAAGCCCTGAAATCCTGGGGAAGATGAGGAGAGAGCAAGTAAAATTGTTCAAGTCACCCTTTGAGACCAAGGCTTCTTGTGGGCTCTTAAATAACTCTTATAAGTGGGGAACTCCATCAGCTACTTGTCCAAAGCAGTTCTCGTGGTCTGAGGCTTTCCATATTCCCCTAACAAAGATCTCAGAGGAAGCTTGTTATGGAGACTTCACCTCCTTAAGGTATTAGTCTGTTATATCTTCCGGTGCAAAGGTAGTCATTTTTCTGGTTGTCTCGTATGTGCCGATGTTTTTGAGTGTTTTTGAAATTTTGAAAATAAAAAATAATTTTACAAAACAAAACCAAACACTCCTTTAATATTTCGCCATGATTTGGTGACCCACGTCTGCCACTCTCTCAACGTGGAATTTTACGTTTGGCCGATCCATTCATCTATTAGTATTTAATGACTTATGCTATATCTATTGGCCGATCCATTCATCTATTGGCTCATTAACTTTTGTGCAAACCAAGTTCTTTTCTCCAGTCTAATAGAAAAACAAGCATCAGTTGATAAAACGTGTCACCTATTGATATTTTGCCATCCTTTCTATTTATCTCCACCCATTTTAGAAACCAATGCTTATATTTTGATGATAATGAAACTTGTGATATCTTACCATCTCGAGATCTTGAGTTCAAGTTGTGAAAGAGAGTATTGATGTTTGCAAGTGTTTGTATGCATCGATCCAAAGTTGGTGTTGTGTCTACGAGCCAAAAGAAAATGAAAACATGGTTGGGATGGCTCGTTGTTATCGAACAAGACATTCCATCACTACTTTCGTTTGCTAGGTTTGTGACGGGCAAAAGAGAACAATGAAATTATAGCTCTGCAAAAGAGTGGTTATTGTTTGTTTCAAATGATGAACACAGGGAAGTAATGGTGGAATATGCAGCTGCAATGCAAGAACTGGCAAGATTACTTGCTGGAGTTCTGGTAATGAACTTGGGACACAAAAGGGGTCTGTTTGAAGAAGTTTGTGATGAAAGCACTTGTTTTCTTCGGCTGAATCGCTATCCAACCTGTCCATTTTCGCCACAGGTTTTCGGTTTAGTACCCCACACTGACAGTGATTTTCTCACTATCCTTCAACAAGATGAAGTTGGAGGACTTCAACTCATGAAGGGCTCCAAATGGGTAGCTGTCAAACCCAATGACAACGCTCTAATCGTCAACATCGGAGATCTTTTTCAGGTAATTTCATATACTAGGTGACAAGTTACTGGGACTTAATTATCTAAGTAATTATTAATGTTATTGGGATTTAAAAAAATAATTTAATTTGTTGACTTAATAATATATCATGATAATTCTTAAATTTTTTCATTGAGACTCCATCACTTGTCACATTATTAATTTAACAAATTAAGTCAATTTTTAAAATCCTAATAACATTACTCTTTTTTAAATGCAAGAGCTTGATCCAATTGGGGCTAGCTTGTATTTTATTACCCAAGTACAGTCATTTTAAACTTATATACAAAACTATCATTGTTTTTTACAAAAAATGTTTTGAAAGCACAAGCTTATCCATTAAAAGCGTATTTTATAAGCACCATTTCCTTATAAAACATTTAAAAGTGTGTTTTAACGCATTTTTGCATTCAAGAAGTGTTTTTAAGAACACTTTTAAAAACGATGATTGGTTGGTAAATAAGTTTCAAAATTATATTTTAATTATTAATTTTGTTATAATTCGAATGCTCAATTATGCTCCTATAGCTCAATGCATTAATTTGTTTACTTTTTCATATTAAAATTAATCCGATAATTCAATTATTTGTGAGTATTTATATTAAAAACATATCATATAAGTGAAACGAATTTAAGTATTTCGAGTGCAATGAAAGAAGCTTAAGATTGGAGGTCGTGTAAGATGGTAATTATAGTTTAAGTGAATTAAGCTCAATTTATTCATTGTACACTATTAAATGGTTTATTGCACGAATCAAAAGTGTTATGCTAGCAACCGCAAAATTATAAATTTGAATTTGAGAACATTGTACAAATACTGGAAAAAGTTATCAATATCTAATGTACTCCGCCTAGTACTCCAAATTAACGCAAATCAGATCCGATAGTGACCCTTTATTATTAGTTGAATTGGAGATAATTTACCTGCTAAAAAAATACCAAAAAGGGTCATTTTCAACAATTGTGTTGGTCGATAAATGAAGCCAAAGTCCAGGTGTTTCGTGAGCATGCTGCCCCAAGGTCGGTGATGGTGCCGTTCTCACGTAGCAGCAATAACTATAATATGCACAGCAACAACGACAAGTCTGTTCATTCTCTGCTGGTGAAATCATACACACCGTATATTGGCACGTTATGTTTGTCTAAACATGTCACAAGTCAAACCTAGCTTGTCTTTGGTTATTAAAAAAGTAAATATATTTTGCTATTGCCAAAGTTATGAGTCAGATCTCCTTTGATTCTATCTATTATCTCTTCAATAATGTTATTTGGGTCACATTATTCCGAAACCTAATAAACATTTAGTTTTCGAATAGAATGAGACAAACGTATCGATGACATTGTCCCTCAACTACATCAATTGAGTTTTGAGACAACGTGAGAAAAGTGAAAGAAAAATTTAAAATAAATAAAACCGATAATACTCGGTGGCCATGCCATGCATGGGGTGGGAAAGGGCTTGCCCTTCTTTTGTATAAGCATTGTATATATAAAAATTAAAGGTAACTCATATTTGAAGGTACAGTGCAATGTAAATGGTTTTCAGAGAGATGTTAGTGACCGTTAAATTAATCTATTTGAAACCGTTAAATGGACTTATCCTTATAATATATTATATATATCTTTTTGTTTAATTTAACACAATGCTCCCTCGATATTGTGAATCTTAAAAAAAAAATCTAAAATTTTGAAATATTTTGGACGTGGTGAATGTAATTCCCCTGTCGTAGAATCATTTGATAACAATTTCTTTTTTGTTGTGGCAATATTTGAAAATGGCAGGCGTGGAGCAATGATGTGTACAAGAGTGTGGAGCATAGGGTGATTCCTAATGGGAAGGTGGAGAGATACTCAATAGCCTATTTCCTCTGCCCTTCGTATGACTCATTGATTGGGAGTTGCAAAGAGCCTTCTATTTACAGGAAATTCACATTCGGAGAGTACAGACGCCAAATTCAACAAGACGTCAAAATGGCCGGCCACAAAGTGGGTCTTCCAAGATTTCTACTCCATGTTCACAATTAACTGGGACCATTTTTGTCTCGCATCAACATCGAAATTGTCTCGAATGTGATGCATTTCGACGGGTTTATGCCAATTTCTTCCGAGACTAGTTCATTTACTGTATATTAGTTACGATCCACTTACATATATTGAGTCTTATTTAAAATTTTCTTGGCTAATCTACCATTAAAAGAAAATAGCAAACGACTAGAATTCAAGTTAAATAAAGATTTGAGACCATACACTCCCACTTGAATTCATCGCGGATGATCAATTATGTTATGTACTCATTTTTAAAAGATTTTTATGTAGTATTTTATGTAGTTATAAGTGAGTTATTTTAATAAGTGGGCCAGTGGTAGAATATTTTGTGGGTAATTTCCTAGATGGTTACTAAAATAGTAGAGTCATGGATCAAGTTAGTTATTTAGGTAGTTTTGTTATCTTACATTTAAATATCTTCCTATTAATGAAATGAATATGTTGTACATTGTATTGAATTTTGTTGTGAAGTTTTGAAGATAGGTTATTTTCGAATTGAAACATTGACGGTTTACACCCCATTGAAGCAAGTTTTCTTCTCCGATTCTATTTTTTCTTTGTTTTACAAATCACCCAAAATCGTGCACGTAACATTTGGTATTAGAGCTAAGCATGGAAGATCGGGTTGATCGACTTGAAGCAAAAGTTTATTCATTAATTGTCGGGCAAGAGAGGATGATGAAAAAGATTCATGAGATATTTCTCACCATTAACAACCGGTTTGAAGAATGAGGGGTCAGTCGAGATCACTGTCTTGAGCAAGGGAAAGGCTCAATCCAATACCATAGAGCAGGGAAGAGTATTGACCACCTATATGCCACTTCAAATGGATCAAGTAATAACTCGATTACTCCCAAATTTGGGATTTTTTAGTGTACAACCACAAGGAAGATGGCCTTACTTGGGTTGGTCTAGCTGAAAAATTCTTTAAGTTCCAATGAACCATTATTGATGAAAAAGTCCCGCTAACACTATACTATCAAAAAAGAGTTTCACTGTTGAGTTATGAACTTCTCAACAAAAAAAAAAAAGATAATGAGTTGCCCACGTGTGTTTTTACCTAATTGAAGCACATGGGCTTGGATCAAGACTATTACACTCATTTTGCAAGATTGCATATCGGTTGCCGAAAGGTGCCTCAACAACAAGATGTGGGGTGCTTTGAAAATGGATTCAAGCATATCATTAGCTTTGATGTTGAAGCTACAAATTCAGTCATCATAACTTTTAGCAACAGCATTGCAGTAATTAATAAAGATTGGAATGCTTTGAAGTTTAACACTGCAATCTGTGAAAATATAAATAAAGTGGATTACAAGGACAAAGAAGTGGGTTGGCTGCTTCCTTTTCTATATGATAAATCAAAATTTGAGGACAAAGTGTTTTTTGAAGGAGAATGGAATGTTTTGTCACTATAACAAAAAGTATTTTTTGCTACAATTTTTTTCGTTGGTAAAATAATAAAATTGTCGCAATTATTTTTTGCGATGTGTTTTTTTTTTCGTCGTGTGTTTGTTATAATATTCTCGTCGTGGAAAGTATTCTGCGATGCACTTTTATTTTCATTGTCAAAAAATAGTTTTTGCAACAAAAAAAAAGTCGCTAAAATTAAAAAAAGCGTAGCTAAAATCTGTTCCGTCATCGTGCAAAAAATAAATAATAATAATTTAATTAATTTTCTACGACTCATAAAAATTGCCTCAAATAAATTATTACCTAAATAAAAAATGTAAACACATTCGCGACACAAAATTAAAAATCGCAAAAAATTATGTATTGGTGACGTAAATATAAAAAAGTCGCTAAAAGGTTCAACCAAAAAAATGTGAATAGCTTTGCAACGTTAAACAACGTCGCTAAATAAACACATTTGCGACGTAAAAATTAATTGTCCTTAAAATATTTGAACCAAAAAACTTGTAAACATATTTGTGATGCTTAAAAAAGGTCACGAAAAAGACATGTTCATACAATATTTTGCAATGATTTTAATTTCGTTGCAAAAAATTTAATTTTTTTTTAAAATAACCTTTCTTAAAAAACAATATTCCTATAAAAAAATTCACATGTACACCAATACGTATGTTCAATAAAAAATTAACACAATTAATACATTTCACCTGTTTTCCATTCAACAACCAACACATACTAACATCAAATACCATACTAACAAAAACACAAAATAGAATACACTTAATAAAAGTTATATAAGTCATCAAAAATATCCAACAACTTAATCTACATACAAGTTTTTCAAAATATTTAGACACATAACAAAGTTAATTCGTCAGTCACTTTGATGCAAAAATTTAGAATTCATCTGTTACAAAAAAAAAAAATACATTAGCAAATTATCAATCAAATTTTTCAAAAACATACAGGTTTCAAACTCTTAGGTGTTAACCTATTTCGTTTTTCATTAAACTCTCAACCCGAGTCTCGAAATGAGATGTTGTCTTTTCCTACAAGTTTACATACCCATATAGTTGTTCTTCGCCCGTTTTCACGATGAACATATTTGAAACAGGCCGATTGACACCCTTAGCTCCAAGTTTTAGGTTTTCTAATTCTTAAGTATTGAACTTTCTAGTTTTTCGTCAAAATCTCAACTCGGGCCTTGAAACGAGAAGCCGTCTTTTCCTACAAGTTTCTAAGCCCAAATAGTTGATCTTCATTTGCTTTCATGGCAAACAGTGTGGAAATGGGCCAATTAGCACACTTAGTGTCAAGTTTCAGTTTTTATACTTCTTAAGTGTTGAACTTAATACGATAGTAAAAAGATACTAACCAAGACTCAAATGACATGTCTTCATTAATTGATGTGCACTGCAAACCACGTTGCATTTGAAGTTGCATTTGCAAAATTTATTTCATCATCTGCTGCTACGCATTTTCAAACTTATTTAGCTTCACCTTCGTTTCATCACGTTCCTTCTAAAAAGAATCAACAACTGCTTGCAACTTTTTTATCTTATCAGTTTGTTCTCGAGACTCAGCAATGGTTCTTAAAGGCTTCAGGCCTTGTCCATATCCTTTGTTGTATCCAGGTCGGCTGCCAAGGAATATGCATGCAATTTCCTCTTGTGTCAATGGCTCTAAACTCTCTTCCGAGTTTTGTGTGAACAATTCTTTAATCCGCTCATGTATTTAAACCTAATGAGTGAATGTATCATAAAAATTTATTTTAAAATAAACATAATTTTCTATAATTTGAAAAACTTACATATCTTGACTCCGCCTCAGGAGAAATCCACTCACTCTTCTTGTTCACATGAGAATCGCGAAAAAAATCAACAATGTGGAGTGACTCATTAGTCGTATGGTCCCTCTGTTATAGTTAATCAAAATATCAACATTCATATTTATGAATTTCCTATATATTAACATTTAGGAAGCAACCATTATATGCTAAAGTGTAGCACTCTTTCAAATAGGGCAGACTGAAATGACTTTAAACCCATGGAGTGGTTGTATGGTAGTTTGACACGGTTTTTCGCATTTTTCTTAAAATTTGCCTATATATAAAGAATATAATTAGTAAAAAATTGGGAATACAAATTGATATTAATTTGCATGGCCTATAAAGGTTACCTAAAATTTTGAATTTTTGTAAAGTGTTTCAATTATGTATTCACAATCCTCCTGACTCACATCACCATATGGCTTGCTCTTTGGGTCAACACTGGACTCAACAAAATCCTTATAGTTCATATGCATATAGTATCAGTGGTCCCTGTATCTTGCAGGAAATTTTTTGTCAATGGCCTTCTTAACCCTAACTTTTTCACGATAATCTTTTATGTTAAACTTTGTCTGCAACAAAATATAAATATACAAATTAATTACAAAATGTTGTCACACTCTATAAAAATAAACATATTGTTGAAACCAAACAAATATGTCTACTAACCAACAACCATGCAATGAGTGGTGCTTTCTCCTCTTATGTTATTTGCTTTTATATGTGGACATTTCTAATAGGGGCAAACATCCTAGCCAGAGAGCCAATCTCTGCCATCACCTTCGAACAATGTACACCCATTGGAACGCCGACTCCATCAGGAATCAAAACATCAAGCGGGCTATGAGCTGCACACAGACGCTCAACATTTTTCTCTCTAGACGGTCTTAGTAAATAAAGTATGCATCAAAAGTTACAACACCTTCCTAGAATTCTTTCAACTCATCAATTAACGGACGCAAGTATACGTCAATCTCCTTCTTGGTGTCTGTGGTCCTGGAATAAGTAATGACATCATGAAGAATGGATAACTCATACATTTCCAAGGAGGCATGTTGTAAGGCATCAAGATCACAAGCCACATACTGTAAGAGTTGCTAATGTTCCCAAAAGGGTTAAAACCATCAGTGGTCAATCCAAGCCTCACATTACAAATGTCTCGAGCAAAATTAGGATATTGCTTATCAAAGTATTTCCATTCTTCAGAATCACTAGGATACCTTGAAAAATTCTCGTCATCTACTCGCTTCTCTTTGTGCCACCTCATATCTATAACCGTTTTTCTTGACATAAATTATCTTTGTAACCTCGATTTTCAAGGAAAAGTATCGTAAGATCTTATGAAGTATCTTTTTACCCTTACTATCATTGTGCTGATATCTTGACTCCCCACGTACTGTACACTTATCCAATTTTTTATTGTCCTTCCAAAAATAGCATACAATCGTATCTACATGCATGAATGGACACGTATCCCAATCCCAAAACACGTAAGAATTTTTTAGCATCATAGACAGACGTTGGAAGAATATGACCTTCAGGTAAAAGGTCTACCAATAGCTCTAACAACAAAGTTATTTACCAAGAATGACAACATCGTTTATTTTTTGCAACCAGGATACATAACACGTTGAGCATCCTTTAGTAATTTTTCAAAATTTTGAACTTCCTCATTATCATCACCCTCACATGTTTCTCCAGCACGAACACCCCCTAAATCATTATCCATTAACATTCCCCTACCAACATCTTCCAACATTTCAGGTATTTTATCTCGATCATCATCTTCATTCTTGGTCTTATCATCCTCGACACTATCAGCATCATCATCATCTTCAAAGAATTGGG